GGCCAGAGCACCGGGGGGAGGGCGGCGAGCCCCGGCCGGGGCTCCGCTCTCCCCGGCGGCCGGAGCCGGAGCACCGCGCCGCCCCCTCCAGGTGCCACCCCAAGCACAAGCTTGGTGGGCTGGGGCCTGGAGCCGGCCCTGGTCCCAGCCTCGGCCCCCTTATCCCTGTCCGTGCGCCCCCCCGGCAGCCGCAACCCCGGCTCCAGAGCGGGGGTGCGGACAGAGGTAAGGGTGTGTGTAACCCTGACAAGTTTGGGGACCACTGATATAAAGAGAAGGAAACAAACTAGTTCTTTTTTATTTGTCTGGTATGGTGCTTGAAAGGCTGGTCAGGGACACAGAGACAAACTCTGGAAGCTACTTTTTGCATTAGGGTGCACAAGGCTCATGCACTATTAAAGTCCCACTTAAGCCTTGTTTTGAGAGTTTAAATAGTGATATGTCTTGTGCTGTCCCTCTGCACGGGACTGAATTTCACCCTTAGTACATACTGCACCACGGTGACTCTCTGCACTGCCAGTCTTAGGTGGGGAAAGAAGCATGAATCTACAGGGGCCAAAGTCCAAGCATGCTCCCTGGAACGGATCAGCTGGCCAAGTGTCCTACCCACCCCTACACCCAGCACTCGTCGGATGAAAGCTGGGGATGAGGTCAAAGTTTCTGAGGCACATGCTGAGACTGAAGATTCCTTCCTTTAGCCCTGTTTTGTTTGAGAGAACTTTCCTCAGAGTAAACAGGCTCAGGCTTTTGCCCAGTAACAGGAGTAAAGCAGAGCGTCCCCAGCATGTTCCGGCACAAATAGAAAGCACGTATTTACCTTGGTTTGGAATGTACAATACACATGGGTTAGAAACGGGTGCTCCCAAGCTAAGGAGAGGACTCTCTTTTCCACCATGGTGCATTCGACGTCATCGTCCATCAAAACCACATCCTTCTTCAGAGCCTTCACAGCGAAAAACTGATCCGTGTTCTTTAACTCAGCAAGGAAGACCTGGAAGGGGAAGGCCAACTCATATAAGACGTGCATTTTCTCAAATCATGTTCAGACCCATTTAAAGAAGAGAGTTGAGAATAACTGGCTCAACACCAAGGTTGATCAGACAACTTAGAGCGGAAGGATGATCTAGTGCAGGGGGTGGGCAACCTTTCAGAAGTGGTGTGCCGAGTCTTCATTTATTCACTCTAATTCAGGGGTTCTCAAACTGGGGGTCAGGACCCCTGAGGGGGTCGCGAGGGTATTACATGGGGGGCAGGACCAGCTCCAGGGTTTTTGCTGCCCCAAGCGGCAAAAAAAAAAAAAAAGCCGCGATCGCAATTGCAATCGGCGGCACTCCGGCGGCAGCTCCACCGCACCGCTTTCTTCTTCGGCGGGAATTCGGCGGCAGGTGCTTCCCTCCGAGAGGGACCCACTGCTGAATTGCCGCCGAACAGCCCGACGTGCCACCCCTTCCCCTTGGCCGCCCCAAGCACCTGCTTGCCGGGCTGGTGCCTGGAGCCGGCCCTGATGGGGGGGGGGGTCGCGAGCTATCAGCCTCCACCCCAAACCCCGCTCTGCCGCGAGCATTTATAATGGTGTTAAATATGTAAAAAAGTGTTTTTAATATATAAGGGGGGTCACACTCAGAGGCTTGCTATGTGAAAGGGGTCACCAGTACAAAAGTTTGAGAACCACTGCTCTAATTTAAGGTTTCCCGTGCCAGTCATACATTTTAATGTTTTTAGAAGGTCTCTTTCTCTAAGTCTATAATATATAACTAAACTATTGTTGTATGTAAAGTAAATAAGGTTTTTAAAAGGTTTAAGAAGCTTCATTTAAAATTGAATTAAAATGCAGAGCCCCCCGGACCAGTGGCCAGGACCTGGGCAGTGTGAGTGCCATTGAAAATCAGCTCGTGTGCCGCCTTTGGCAGGTGTGCCATAGGTTGCCTACCCCGATCTAGTGGCTAAGTCGCCCGACTAGGACTCAGGTAGTCTGAATTCAGGTCCCAATTCTGCCCCAAACGTATGAGGCTTTGGGAAAGTCACTCAATCTACCTTATGCCTTAGTTTCCATGTGTAAAATATGGATAACGCTTTCCTACCTCCTAGGGGTGTTGTGGGGATAAATCCACTAATGACTTAGTTACTACAGTGATGTGGGCCATGTAAGTAGATGGAACACTTCTGACATGTGAAAACTTTGATGACTGAAACCAGTTTTATGCACATTTTCATAAATAATGGTTTCCATTTTCTGGCCACTCTGCTAACCACTACAATACTCTAAAAGACATATGGGGGAGTATTATTTTGTCAGCAATATATAAAGGGAACATTTGGGGTCAGATCCTCAGCTGGGATAAATCAATGTAGCTCCACTGATTGACTGATTTACAAGAGTGAGGAATGAATAGAGCGGTTGCACTTCTACAGTATTTCTCGTCTGAGGATCTCAAAGCGCTTAGCAAATACTAATGAACTGCGTCTCAGAGAAATAGGCAAGCTTTATTATACCTCTCTTCCGGATGGGGAAACTGAGGCACTCAGAGGCAAAATGACCGAATGAGCCAGTAGCAGTGTTGGAAGTAGACTGATTTCTAGGCCCACAGGCTAATTACAGTACTAGGCAACCATGTGGCTTAGTGGACAGCACTGTACTGGGCCTCAGAGCACCTGGCCTCACTTCTTAACTCTGTTATAAATTTTCCAGATGATCTTGGGCAAGTCACTTCCCACTCTGTGTCTCAATTTCCCCATCTCTGACATGGGGATACTGACATCCTTTATAAAGTGCTTTGAGATCGATGGATAAAAAACACTGTATAAGAGTTGGGTCTTATTATTAACATGCCCCTTGGTTAGCTAAACGTTCAAGAATAATCAATAAAGCTTCCTCAGTACTGTTTACTGAACCGTAGATATGAAAAAGTGCAGGGGATCTGCAACCCCCTTGCAAGTTTTATTTACTCTTTTGGTTATTTGTATGTTTAACTTATCAGTGTGCTGTGTATCACCTCTCCCATGCGATATGGGGAATAATCAGTAATATTAATGCTGATGCTACAACAACTCTCTCGCAGTGCCCTCTCCATGCTATGGAATATTCTTTAAGAGAGGGGCTCAAGGGATAGTAAACAGAGTGCAACTGTCTGACTGGGAGGCAGGAGAGGGTAGGAGACAGTAGGGTCAATGCAGCAATGGGCTTCTACACAGATGGCCCAGTACCATTGAAACCCATGCAGATCTCTGGAGATTGGCAGGGTATGAAGGCTGCAGACCCTGCATCTTCTCCAAAGGAGGACACACCCCACTCCAACCAGTGGAAGAATTTGGAGAGAATTCTGTGGAGGAAGCTTGTAGTATTTTCTACTCCCAACCGGTTTTCTGTGGAAGGGCCAGATTTGTCCTAAGCTTGTTCAACTATGGAAAGCAAAATGGAAAAAATTAAATCAGATGTTTCATTAACAATTTAAGATGTGGCCACTGCAATTGCATCAGTCCATAAAATATGCAAGAATCAGCCATACACCCAGGGGAGATTCCATCTCTGATGTCTTTGGGCAACACGTTATCTAATACGTGCACACTCAATAGTTGATGCTAAATTGCAATGAAGAGTGGCTTCCGAATTGCCTCTCAGAACTGCATTAGCGCCAAATGAGTTCATCATGGTTAACGTTATCCTAGAGGATGCTTCTACGAATTAATAATGATCAGGCACACAATGTAAAGTGAGACGAATGAATCCACTGAAGGTAGAAGATTCACGTTTCAGATCCAGGGCACAGATCCCCAGCTGATTTAAACTGGTAGAGCTCCATTGACTCAGTGGAGCTATACGGATTTACATCAGCTGGAGATCGGGCCCCAAACATCTAAGGGATGTAGCTGAATCCAGCCTGAGTAAGGGGCAGAGCATAGTTGCCCCAAGAATAGGGGGCTTCATAATCTGGTCCCTGTTTCCTCTTTGCCCTGGAGGGGGAAGTAATCTACTCCAGCTTTTTTTCAGGTGCGGCTTACTTCCTCCTCCGAGCTAGCTCAACTGTGCTGGCTGATAGCAGTGCCAGGACTCCACCCAGTCTGCTCTCTGCCCACCTTCTCCTTCTCCCCACCCACGTGCATAAAAGGGGAAGTAGCAGCCTGGCTGCTTCTTTCCCTTTTACACAGTCATGTGGGTAGCCGGTGCAGGGGAGTAAGAGGGCCACTATAGTATATTTACTCTCCTATGCAGAGGTGGGGCTGGGTTTATGATTGAGCCCTGGGAGACTTAGGTTTCTATGCAATGCAACAGTTGGGTACCCTTGGCGATGTTTAAATCTTATTTATTATTAAGGACGTTTGGGTCAGGTTTGACCTCTTCGGAGGTTTGAAAACAGAGAGTCATGCCTTCTGCCCCTGGCAATGCAACGGCCACGTAGGCATTGAAAAGCTGTTTATATTCTCCAGCAGTGCACTGCCTGGTTTTGCTTGGCACACGTCAGCCCCATCTCACTTACCTTGCCAAAGCTTCCCTTTCCCAACATTTTGTGTAAGACAAAATCGTCGATTGTTAATTTCAGCTGCTCAGACTTCTGGTCTTTTCCTGGTTCTGATTCTATGAGAGACTCGGGGCTTGTCACGTCTTCCACCGGCGTCTCCCAGGAGATTCCCTGTGGCTCTGAAATGAACCCCAAAGCAAAATAAACACCCAGAAACAAAACAAAAAAATCCACATCCTAGTTTTCCATATTTCAAAGACACCCAGTTCCAATTAAAATCAATGGCAATCAGGTGTCCACATTCAGTAGGTGGATTTGAAAACCTCAGGCATTGTGCCTTAATCCCCTTCTAGTTACATCAGTTTTTGCAGTGGTGTAACTCCACTGACTTAAGGAGAGTGACTCCCGATGTTACGTGGGTGTAAATGAGAAGAGAAAGACACCCTTTAACTGCAATGTTGCTTTCATAGCCGAAGAACAGGGCCAAGCCCTTAGATTCTGTGCAGCTTTTACTTGACATTGCTTCTTGCTGGCTGTCACACCGTGCCATGACATCTTACCCTTGGGCCTCTTGCAAGTCCATTGCCAAGGTTGCTGTGTGAAACAGATGAGACACTGTTTATACTTCATGCTCCTATCCCAGACGTTCAGATCAGGTTGGCTGCCTTTGCTGTCAGTTCCTGGAGTGGGACTTTCAAGAGTTTCCTGGGTATTCTATTTATTTAGATTTATCAAAACCTGTATAGGAATTTATTCCTTACTGAACCTATCCCACAAACTCAAACACGCAATACCATACAGAGGATTGCTCAGCCCACCTTGACAGATAAAATAAATATCCACCGGGGAAGAGATGGTGCCTTAGGTAATCCGGTCCCAAGCCCGGTCCCAAACTCCAACTAGAAACTAACGGCAAGCCACTGCAGATGTAATCCTCTGATCGGCGTATGTCAGACATCCTCCACTGGGGCCAATTCACAAAGGATGCAAGTCTGGCTCTTTAGAGTCGAAGAATCACAGACATGTTGGGCTGGACGAGAACTCAAGAGGTCACCCAGCCCAGTTCCCTGCACAAAGGCAGGACCAAATATACCTAGACAAGGCGTTCTGACAACAAATGATTTGGTGGCCTCAGAGTGCGGCGACCAACTTTTGCTGGTGGCCACTTTCACCTAAAATACTTAATTAGCTTTAGGAAAAACAAATACATTTTCACATATACACATCCAAATCACTGTAATTTATTTATGGCTAGCTAGTAAGTCTGCTGTGAAAAATGATATTAACAAACATACAAGTATAATTTTTCACAGCAGATTTACTCAGCCCCGGCAAGCCTGGAGACAAATTAAGCCCTGGATGAGAGGTTGGGGGAGGCAATAGCAGGGGCTGGGGTCGGGGAGGGTTGGCTGCGGGAGGCAGCCGGGGGCTGGAACCTGAAGCCCCGTGGCTAGGGGATGGAACCCAAAGCCACAGAGCTGGAGCCCGGAGCTGGAACCTGAACCTTTGTGGCCAGAGCCTACCTCCACACCACCCCCGGGCTGAAGCCCAAAGCCTGATCCCCACCACCCCAGAGAAGGTGGGGAACTCACCGGCTGCTCCTCCAGTGTTGTGCCCCAGGCATCTCCAGAGGGGGGCAGGGCCCAACCCTGGCTGGAAGCCCCAGCAACCAACACCAAGGCATCCAGGAGCACCAGGGAAGGGGAGGAGCCGCTGCTCCCCCTGCCCCCCCGCCCATCACAGCCCAGGAGGTTGTGGCCGCAAGAAAAGCCCCTGGTAGCTGCATGTGGCCACGGTGGCCGCATTTGAGGAACACTGTCCTAGACCACCCTGGACAGGTGTTTGTCCAACACGTTCTTAAAAACCTGCCATGATAGGGATTCCACAACCTCCATTGGTAACCTCCTCCAGTACTTCACTATCCTTAACGTTAGAAAGTTTTTCCTAATATTGAACCTAAATTTCCCTTGTCCTACTTGGAGTGGACATGGAGAAGAATTGCTCACTGTTTTCTTCCTTTTACTTATTACTCAAGCTGTAGAGATTCATGCTTCTGGTGTGAGAGGCCTCTGGTGTTGACCAAGATGGTAGTCATCACAAAGACTCCAGAGCATTGGTATAACATGCTTCTGATTGGCAACTCTGCTTTCATAAGTGGGCTGCAGCATTCTGCACAAGCTTCATTTTCCCAGTGGTCTCCATGTGCAGCCCTCGTGCAGAGCAATGCGATCTTAAGGCGACAAGGCCATAGATTCATAGATTCATAGATTCTAGGACTGGAAGGGACCTCGAGAGGTCATCGAGTCCAGTCCCCTGCCCTCCTGGCAGGACCAAATACTGTCTAGACCATCCTTGATAGACATTTATCTAACCTACTCTTAAATATCTCCAGAGATGGAGATTCCACAACTTCCCTAGGCAGTTTATTCCAGTGTTTAACCACCCTGACAGTTAGGAACTTTTT